CTAAGAAGTTACCATTTACCAGTTTAATGGTAAGAGGGTCGTCCATAAAGTACGTTCGCTCATAGGGGGAGGTTTTCAAAAAACGTATGAAAGCGTTTTAGGGGGGGGGGGGGGGTATGGTTCAATGTAAAAGTACATACATCAATTTTCTAATTTATCACAATTAACCAGCTAATCAATAGAAAAGTTAAAATTCTGACTAAAGATCCTAGTTGGTCAACATAAAAAGATGTTTGGTATAGGAAGTAGAGGGTATAGTTTCCCTCAATGCACACACATGCATGGGGGCCCGCAGGATTTTTTGATGTTCCAGATAGGACACTTTCACAATATTTTTAAGTTTGGAGCTTGTAGAAGCTGCATACTTAAGTATACGTATGCCAAATGTGTGAATGTGTCTTATCTAGAACATCAAAAAATCCTGCGGGCTCCTATGCACACATGCCACCCCTTATATTCTGGCCCTGAGTATAGCGTATTTAAGGCAACCTATTTTTTGAGTCGTTTAAAAACAGGTTTTAGCAATGCTGTGGCTAATTGGTCAGAGGCCCCCCAAAAAACGTGTCATTTGGGTCTCAAAAACTCCCAAATACCGCTAGGTTTTGCTAAAATAAAAAGCTCTTTAAATTAGCAAAAGGGCACGAAGTTCTCTGCCCCCTTCCCCACCTCAAATTAAGGGGTAGCCTGTCTTTGGCACTGGGTTTTAGGCTTTGTTTTCGATATTACTGATCTCGCGTAGGACTTGTTTTTTACGGACTTACTAAAGAGGGGTGCTTGAAAAAAACATTCGCCTTAAATATAGTTTATTTTTATTCGATTTGTAATCGAAACAAAAAAAGTGCAATATACTCGACCGGTAATCGAACACCAGTCTCTGTCACCGCAGTCCACAGCATTAACCTCTTGGCCAAGGGAACACATTGAATATATGTAGTTTAATTTTATTAAAATTAATATTAGCATATATATTTGAAGATGTTCTTATTGAAATTCTTTATTGAAAAAAATAAGTTAGGGAGGGGGGGGGGAGGGATTTAAAAAACATACATACATTTTGAGGGATGGGAAACTTAAAAGTATGCAGACAACAGGGGGAGGGAGGGTGGTCAAATTTCAAAATTTTTGGCATACGTACTTTAAGGACGAAATTCCCTTTTTGTTTCATAAAATCTTTTAAAACATTTCTTTCTAACATTTTTAAAAACTTTTCAAGATTTAAAAACTAAAATATTTGGTTAAAAAAAAGATAAAATAGTTTTTTAATAGCTTGAAGAAAATACTTTATTTTTTTTTAAATAGAAAAATATTTTTTTCAAAGCAGTTTTCAATGCACAACATTTTAAAAATAGGAAAAACTTTAAATTTATAATTAAATGTGATTAAATAATATGATTAAGTGAATAAAACATTTAAAAGTATTTTTAAATGTTGATCTTTTAATGAAAACCCACAAAAAAAATTTTTTAGCAATTGTTACGTCAGTGCTTAAAACTAAAATTATTTTGCAAGCAACTTATTAAAATTAGTTTATAACTCATAGCTTACTAGCAACAAGTCAAAAATAATTTTTATTCTAATATCAAACATAATCACAAACAAGTATTGTTTTAGATAACTAGTCTATCAAAAGTTCATCGTATAGTTCTTTAGTATTTAGTTGATTTTAATATGATGTGCTGATAATTTACGTTAAAACTCAATTTTGGCAAATCAAAAAAAAATAAAAATCAACTCGTCCATAGTTTTCTATTTTTTAATTATGTAAAGTCAATGCAGGCCTTAGTCTTCTTGCCATCCTTGTGGAAAATTTGCCATACCACCTCTGAAAACTCCTTTTTCTGACAATTTTGTCAAGCATATGCCAAGCAGGTAATATTATATAGCCGCCCTGCTTAGAGTTTGTTGGGGGGAGCTTTTAATGCGATTTTATTATATATGTGAATTTGTTAACTTTAATTTATATTTGAGTTATTATACCTTTTCAAAGTTTCCGTTGAGGTTTAATTCTAAAATTTAATTTTAGATAATTTTTTGATATCTTTCATAAAAATATCATAATTATAGAAATCATGATATTTTTATGAAAGTAGTTGTGTTTTTTTTTAGTAAAAAGATAGATAACTTTGCACAATATAAAAAAAACCATTAACGATATTACTTTGAAATGACTATTATAAAGCCAATCTATTTTTTATATAAATTTCAAGCATATCATGTAAATACTTAAGTCTATTAAAGTTAGATTTTGTTTTTATAATAGACTTGTTATAATTGTATAGTCTTATAATAGTAAACTTGTTTTTCATGTGAGATAAGACTTGTAGACTTGTTTTTCATGTGAGATAAGACTTGTAGACTTGTTTTTCATGTGAGATAAGACCTTGATGATCTACCCATCAAATTTCTTGATCGATTTACCCGTCAAATTTCTTACAGATGGTTTGTTAGAAGAGCATATAAAATGTAGGAACCCGCTTCACAAATAGATTTTATGCAGTTACTGTACAGTTGTTGTAATAAGAAATAATAAGTTATAATTTTTTTTCAATCATGTACTTATATTTTTTTACTTATTTTAAAAGTATATATATACTGAAAATACAAAAGTAAAGAATTTAAAAGTAGAAGTATTAAAAGAGCAAAGTAAGTTCTTGTTTCAAGAAAAAATTCTCTTGAAATTTTGAGCGAATATAAAATCTTGAAATACAAAATCTATTTTTTCTTAAAACAAGAATTGCTTTATACTTACTAAGTAAGAAGTTGCTTAAATTCTTATTTTACGTAATTATTTACTTAAGACAAGTAAAAATGTTTTAAGTAAGAATCGGACTTATTACTTATAAGTAAAAACTTGCTTAAATTCTTATTTTAAGTAAACTTTTATTTGAAACAAGAATTTTTATATTCTTACTAGTAAAAATTGGCTTAAATTCTTTTTTTAAGTAATTATTTTCTTAAAACAAGTAAAAAATGTTCTAGGTAAGAATTGAAAAAGTACTTTACATTTTTAAAGTGATATTACTTTTAATTCATTACTCAAGTTACAATTGAGGTGAAGAATGAGTTCCTTACGCAATTTTTCGTATTAGCAATTAGTTTGCTGTAGATAATTGATAGTATATGAAGAGTTATTTCTATTTGCTATAATTGAATTGAATTTGATAAAACCAATATGCAATTGTTAAATTTTTATTTGTTTTAAAAGATATAAAAGAAGGATACACAAAGAAACTTAGTTAAAAAATATTTGTTAAGTTTATCTCTAATAAATTATAAAAATTCAAAATGGTGAACCTAATCTTTCAAAACTTCACAAAAAGTCTTCAATCAATTAAAGGTACCAATGGTAGAAAAGGTTTTTATGCAACGTCTATACAGTGCTCCAACTAACTAAAAATGTGGCAAAGTAGTACCTATAAAATAGCGATTTTTTGATAAAAATGCGGTAGGTTGCGAGAATAACGATAAAAACACAATTTAATCGTAATCACTGCGATTTTTGTGCTCATAAATCAAAAAAAAGTTACATTTCGATTAGTTAGCGGCTAATCATAATGGAAAAAAATCACTTTAAAATTATCTAAGGGATCGTCCATAAATTACGCAACGCAAAAAATATTTTTAGAACAGGAGTATGAGAAATTAGGCTCTTTTACGCGGCGATTTTCATTTAACTTAATTTCCTATTTTGATTGTTTATTTAAATTAAGACTCTGCGAGGGAAAACTTTTGATCTTTTTTTGTTTTGTTTTTTGTGAAACTTAGCGTTTCATAATTTATAGACGATCCCTAACTAAATGCCGCTATTGTAAATAATCGCCCGTGATTCCTTTTCTAAAAATAGCTATCGAAATTTACCGCATAATCGCATTGCGGTAACACCGGTGCTTATTTCTAATATCTTGTCTTTGTTCTTGATTGTGTGTGTGTATCAATATATAGACACACACACTGTTAATTGAAGTTAGGTATATAACAATTTATCTGTTAAAAATAAGTGATAAAAGTAAGAAACAGTTAAGTTTTTTAATGAGCTATATTGTTTTTTCAATATGTGAGTATATCATGTCTATTTTCATTTTAGTACTTTTTTGCACCACCCCTTGCTTTTACAACTGCTTCTGAATGTCTTGGCAATTTATTGGCCTATTTAATTCTAAGTTTCACTAAGATCCACATAAGGTTCTTTTTATTTGTTCGTTTTAAAGGAGGTTTTTTGGGTTCCAAAACTGCCGTTAATAGTTTTTTTGAGGAGGCTGTTTAAGGATACTGGCTTTACTTTTTGAGGAATGGCTTGTGTGTTTTAGATGGTTTCTAAAGATCTGTATGATTTTATTAAATACCAAAAAAGAACTAACAAAACATGTTTTCTTATACATAAAGTGCACTTTTAGGACTAATATGTAATAAGTCCAAAGTAATAAGCAACGTTATTATCGTCAATATAAACTCAATAAATTTTTCCAGCCGTTTAAAAATAGCTCATTCACTAAACTTTTTCAACGATGTCAATATTTCTTTGGGTATCGTATATATCTAAATTTATAATAGAATTGGTGAATGTTAAAACGGAAGTCCAACTACAAAAACTTTCGAAAAACTAAAAAAAACTGCATTTTCCCCCGTAGTAAATTTTGTTAATGGTTTAATAATTTTTTAATATAATTTAATTAATGGTTTAATAATATTAAACCATTAACAAAAATTTATTACGGGGGAAAATGCAGTTTTTTTAGCCTCCCGAAAGTTTACATTATTGGACTTCCACCCTTTTAACATTCACTGATTCAATAGATCTTGCTACGGACTTAATCGTAACGTGAATTTGAAGATGGTGGTTTAAATATTATTAATATACTGCCATGGGTACCATGAAAACCATTAAAGTGAATAATATATAGACAGTAATAAATAACTAGAAATAGAAATTGATTTAGGAGAAAAGTTTAAATAAAACTTTGTTATGCTGTTTAGACAACTGTTTGTTTATCTTTATTTAGACAACTGCTTGTGTTTACCTTTATGAATGCGATGATGCTACTTTAACCGGATCTCTTTTACTTGCTAAGGTTTTTTATTACTTTACTATTTTCTAACATAATATCTGTTTTTGTTTTTGTAAAAATTATCGTGCTTTGTTTAGCTTGTGATTAGAGATCTAAATAGTGATGAAGCAAAAGAATTATTTTTGAATATTGAATTCAGAAGGTAAGTTACTTTTAATTTTTGTAAAAATCCCAAAATGCTTTGCAATTTTTTTAAAAAACTATAAATAAAACATAGAAAGAATTAAAATAAAAATAAAATAAAGAGAAATAAAAAAGGAAAGAAAGGAAAATAAAGCACTAACAAATAAAGATAATATTAATAATTACAATAATAATATAATAAAAATAATAATAATATTATATAATAATGTGAATAAAAAAACATTACAAATAGTAACTACAACATAATAACTTAACTAAAGGTTATAACTAATGATAAAAACTATGGTAAAAATAATTATAGTAAAGTTTATAACTATTACAGAAATTATAAAAATAAACATAACAATTGCAAAAGTTAGAACAATAACCATAAAACTATTACTACAATTCACTATCATTATAAATAATAATAATATTTATAAAACAAAGGTAAATTAATGATAATAGTAATATTAGTAGAGTTAAAAATGACAGTAAAAAATAAAAGTAATAATAGTTTTATAATTACAGTAATATATAAAAAGCAATAATAATAAAATTAATATTCATTAAATATATACTCAAATATAAATTTCTTAATTTGGTTTTCGATTGAGAAGAAGAATGTTGGTGATGAAAGGGTATTTTGTTTTTTCACATTTTAAACCTTTCCTATAAAAAAGTCTTTTTTATTATAAATAGTATTATTTGGTTCCAGTGAGAAATACATTGATGTTTTATAGAGAGCTTGCCATATTTGATAGTATTGAAAAACGAAGTGTGCAAGTTAAAATTTTCAGTATTTTAATTGTTGACAGTTTTCAGTATTTCAATTGTTGACAATTTTTTTTTCTAAATAAAAGTCGTTGCTTTTTTTTTTTATCAAAACTAGAGAAATTAAACTGAAGATAATATATCATTTATATTTAGTAGAAGCACTTGAAGAAATCTCTCCCTTTTTTTTTTCTTTTTTTCCTTTTTTTTTTTTCTTTTTTTCCTTTTTTTTTTTTCTTTTTTTCCTTTTTTTTTTTTTACTTTTTTCTATTTAAAATTCTATTTTTGCGATAAAGCTTTTTTGCGAAATAGGTGAAAAAAGGGTGCTGTATCTGAAGGTAACAAATTCATTTTATTAAAATTTAATTAAATGTTATACGCAATATATGGAGACATCTAGTCTGCGTATATTGCATGTACGTAAAACATAATCAGATTAGTTATTTATCAAAAACCAGTTGAATACATAAATGTTTGGTAGTAAATAGTATTCACTTTCTTTTTCCTACTTTATATATGGTTAATACTCGGAGAGTATGTATGGTTATTATTCGGAGATATAGATGCCTTTTTATATCTCCATGTACTAACTAGCAGTAGCATACCTTTGCATATTAACAAATAACTTAATAATTTGAAGGAAATAACTTTGGTGTATGTAACTATAGAGTTTTTTCTATAATTTGGTAAAGTTTACCAAATTATAGAAATAAATAAATTTTTGATCTTTATTCAAAATTAAACGAAAACAAAATGTAATTATATTTACAAGCCATTTGCAACTTCTTTTATGACTTTTTTTTTTTTTTTTTTAAATGAAGTTTTTTTTTTATTAGCCTTTTTCTGAAAAAACTTAATTTAACTTTATCTGAAAAAACTTAATTTACTTTTTTCTATATGAGCTTTCCCAATATTATTTAGAAATGGATGTTTATCTGTAATACTAAATGATCGCAAATCAAATAAAACAGAAAGTGTTAGCATTGAAATGACAAAGATTTAACGAGCGTGAACAATTTTTTTAAAAAAAAAAGTTGTACGAAACTCCAGTTTACTAGACACGAACGTAACATTTGATGTATATTAACCTATTTGATGAAAATGAACCCGATATTTGATGAAAATTAGCCCGAGATTTGATAAAGGTGAACCCGACTTCTGAAGAAAATGAACCCGATTTTGATAAAGATGAATTTTTTAATTTTAATTTTATACTTTATAATCAATTTTTTTTTTCGGAAGAGATCATAATTAATGTATTTTTCTGTCTTATGAATGAATGAGCATTCATTAATATCGTAAAATTTGTATAAGCTCCAGCATAAATTATAAATGAATATTCGTTTGTCGCTAAAGGGATAAAGGTTATGTAAATAATGTTTATTATGAAAAATATTTTTGAAACAATTTTTTTTGTGAAAGTTTTGTAATGCAGGAGATGGTAACTTCTGCATTTCACAATCCAGATAATCAAACAAATTCTTTTTCTTTTTGGAATGGCCATAAAAATGATTTTGAAGACCGTCGTAGCGAATTCTTTAATAAAAAGATATATTCGTTGAAAAATCCAGAAAACAGTCAAGAGTTAAAGGAAAAAGATCGACCATCAAATTTTACTCATAAAAATAGTTTACTCCGAAAAGAAGATTTTGCAAAAAAAACTCAGGAGCGTCAGAACATTGTTTCCGTAAGAAACAAATATGCCTATGTCAAATCAAAAACAGATTCAAATATTGAAAGCTTGAATCTCAAAAGAAGGAAACTGAAGAATACTAGTTTTGTAAATGAAAGCAACAAATTTTTTTTACAACATGGTCATTCTGTGGATTATTTGCAACGTCAGCGTAATGTTATGTCAGCTTTACCTGCCAACAGAGTTAATTTTTTTCAGATCGAATCATCACTTAAACCACATTATCGTTCAAAATCAGCGATTAGTTTAAGAAGTACTGATAAGACTAAAGAAAACGAAAGTTCGTCAAAATTAGTCGAAGTTGATAATTTTCACAACGATTCTTTTAATAAATATTTTAAACAAGATAATTTAAAGCCACTTTTAAACAACTTTAATTCTAACTTTCAACAAAATGAAATGCTTTTTGAAAATTTGAATAAATCTTATATAGAAAAAGACCGATATTCTCAACTCTCGTCGCGGTTTGGAAACTCTTTAAATGAAAATATTTCGATGACCAACAGCACAACAGAAAATTCTGTTTTGCTTGCTTTTTTACGTGACGATCCTCAAATGAAAAGTTGGTCTTATAATATGAACATGAAACTTGATAAAGACTCCGATCCGATAAAATATTCAGGACCCGTTTTGGTTGATACTTCAAATCGCGATAACAAGTCATCAAACGACGTTTTACAAAACTCATCAACTTTAAGTACAGAATACTCGAGTCCTATTCAAAAAAAAGAATTATTACAAAAAGATAAAACTGACAATTCTCATGAAGTATATCATAATAAGTACAATTCTCACTTGGAAATCAAAAACAAAATGCTTTCTCTGTTAGATAGTTTAAACCTACATACTTTGAAATCAAATATAATTGAAATAGAACGTCGTACAAGTTCATCCGGGGTAGCCCCACTCAGTGGTCATAACTCAACTTTAGACATATATCATTTTAATAAACATGATCCTTATAACTGGGACCATTTAAGAAACAGACCACTTGTCAAAAATAAAAAAAGTGTACGTGTGGCTCTTGAAAACAACAGGCTTCATTGTTACACCCCTGAGTATGATAAGCCTAAACTCTCCTCTGTATACACATAATGTATAAAATGCATAGATAATTCATTATATTCATTATATTATAGATATAAATTATACTTAAAAATTGTTTATAGGAGATTATTTAATTAAAAATTTTACAATTTTTTGTTTATTAAGATGGCTGGTAAGTAAAAACAAATCAAAGTTTAAAATCAAAATTTGCAATTGGTTTTTCAAGTAAATATATTCCTGTTTTCAAAAAACTTTAACTGGTTTTAGGATCAATTTTTTTTCTTAAGCGTGTGAACATTTTATAATAAATTTTTATTCTTAAGCGTGTGAACATTTTTTTTGACTGAAACAAATCTTTTTTTTTTTTCTAATTTTTCTAATCTTTTATTTAAAAAAAAAAGAATTTTTTAAGAAAGTACTTGGTTAATATAAAGAACATCACCTTGTGAGTTTTAAACAACAATCCCTTCGATTATAACCTGAAGTTATTTTTTTTTTTCAATCCTTAGTTTAGATATTGTTTTTATATAGTTAAAAATAGAGTTTAATTTTTTACTATATAAACTTTTTATTTCATTTTAAATGTTAATTCAACATTTAATATTTAAGTTAGATGTTAGTTTTTTACTAATTATTACAGAAAAATGAATATACTTTAAAATTTGTCGTTCAGTTTTCATTTTTATAAAATGGTTTTAAAGAAAAATTTTACATTTATATATCACATAGCAACACACAGGGCCGGCGTGAGTAGGTGTCACGTGGGGTGCCATTACAACATTTGCCTAATAAAAAAAAAAAGGTCCTCGTTTTCGAAGATTTGCTAACAGCCATGACGACATTTTCCGACTAAAAGTTTAGATTACCAACTAACCTTTATCGAAAGGGTCGACATTTGCCGACTAACTAGTCAAAAAGGGTCCAATATTCCGACTAAAAATCATTAATGGGGGGGGGGGGGGGGTTTAACACCATTCGCACCCCCCCCTATCGCGCCGGTCTCGGCAATACAAACAGAAAGCATATTCTTTATCTAAGCGTTTGCATTAACTTTTTTATTTTTTTCATTTTAATAATTTTAGCAACTCTGCTATATTTAATCCAAAAAATATAGTTGAGTTTAACTAGTATATTTAAGATTCTTATTAAAAATTGTTAATTATTATTAAAAAGTAACAGGATTAAACAGTTATGATTAAAATTAAAAGGGTAAAAAACAAACAAAACAAATGTTCTGATTTGTTCTAACAGCATCCTATACTTTTCTAAATAAATTTATAATAGCTTCAACAGTTTTAATGCAGATTCTTTGTTATAGTTTAACTTGTAGGCAATATTTGTTTAAAAATATTTTAATCACTTTTCATAAAGTTATGTTTGTCCTGTTTACTAAATTTAGTTCTACACATCACTTGCATTGATGATTTTCTTCCGGGGGCAAGCAGGTAAAAGTAGATAAAACATATATATGAAATTACTTGTCACTCGGCGGACTAAGGCAAACCGATTCTTTAGGCAGAGATCTCTGCCTAAGGTATCGATACTTTGAGGGCCTCGTTTAAGCGTCTGACACCAATTAAATGTATAATCATAAGTTATAGATTGTTATATATTTCTCTGAATTAACTAATTTGTCAAATACTTGTTTTATACAATTAGTAGAAACAGTATTTAACTTTTGAATCATGCTTCAAATTTAAGTGTTTAATTTTTTTTAGATACCCCCATCCAACATGATTTAATCCCAAAAATAAACAAGTCAACCAAAATAATTTAAAACTCATCGACATTGCTTGACGTTATATTTGCTAATAATTTTTATAATTGCTAATTAGAATCTGGAATAATCGCAACAAACATAACAGATCATTTTCCAATATTCTTAATATCCTCAATATCTACAACCTTGTTTTTTCACATTTTAAACCTTTCCTATAAAAGTCACAATTATTTTTAAAAGTGGGAAATGTGTCAAATATGTCTAATTATAAAGACATTTCTTAAAAACTGTTTCCGTTTTACGTTTTTAAAATTATTAGAGCGTATTATGTATGACAGGCTTAATAATTATTTAACAGAAAACAATATACTTTTTAACAAACAATTCGGGCTAAAAAAACAATTCAACTGATTATGCCGTAATTGAAGTAATACATTTTTTATCTGATGGGTTCAAGCGGCCGTGGCGCAGTGGTTAGAGAACTTGCTTTAGAAGCCAGAGATCCAGGGTTCAAAGCGAGCTCTTAGCATATTTGCACCATTGGTAAGGAACGAGGCGTGAACTTCCTATTTAAATGACCCTCTGCGATACTCTGTGACAAGACAGTTAGGTCCTCTAGGGGCATCTAAAATAAAAATGATTGCTACACATTTTATTGATCTATCAAAATCTGTGTTTAATGATAGTGTGTTTCGTCTTTTAATGAAGAAATTACTGTTTACACATACCTCTAATTACTGAAATTGAGTAGAATGTAAAAAATTTTAATTACAAAATGTTAAATTTTTTATTTGATTTAACCCTTACAAAATCTGTAAACAATATTTGAAAAATCTTTTTTTTTTTTTTAAAGAAAATTACAGTAAAATAGTATAGTTTTGATTATTTTTATGAACTTAAGAACTATGAAATTTTTTTTTTAACTTGAACGATAGTTATAATCAGGGGTGTGAAGTCGTAAAAAAAAGTAACGACTCCGACTCCAGTTGTTGAAATTTTTTGAGTACAACTCCGACTCCGACTCAAACTCCGACTGCAACTCCAACTCCAAAGCAAAATTTTTGCAAAATTCTTTGATTTCTTTAAAAAATATTGCCCGGTAAGTTAAAATTTTTTTTTTTGACAACTTTATGAAACATTCTTTGATGTTTAGTATGAACATAAAGTTAATAGAATATTTTGTACATGCACGTGCAATACCAAGAAATTTTACTATCGGAGTTGGAGTCGCGATATTTTTTAGCGACTCGGACTCCGGTAAAATTGTCGCAACTCCGCGACTCCGACTCCACAGCCATGGTTATAATAATATACATTAATATTATTTATGATTTTTTCAGTATAACTTATAACTAAATAATATTTTAAAATTTAGTTAAAAACAAACAATATTTTCATAAAAAATTAAATACCAAAAATTTTATAACTTGACAATATCACTAACGCTACTAAATGAAATAGTGCAAGAATAAAAATCCGCATTCAAAAAAGTTGAATACAATGTAATTAAAAATACAAAAAGGTGGATGGTGTTCTGTGATTGGTCGAATTCTTTATATAAAAAGCGTTTGCTTTTTTTTGTTTGTTTAAGAAATGAAATATATAACAAAATTAATAAAAGGGTCGTCCATAAAGTACGTACGCGTGCGTATGTTGGAGAAGGTTTCCCTAAAACCTACAAATGTGTATAAAGGAAGGGGGTGTTTTAAAGACAGCAAGTGCGTACGTGATTTGACTATCACTCCTAAAACTTGATTTTTTTTTTTTTTTTTGATCTTCACTAGTTTGAAAAATCAATT